AGGGGGCAGTGCCGAGGGCGTAGAGGCTCCCTGAGAGCCCGCATCCTTGGATAATCCCAGACCGCAACCAGTATATAGGGATAAGCTGGCCAGCATGGGCCACAACTCCTTGGATCGCTAGGTACAGCCACGAGAGGAACCACATGAGGGGCCCAGGAAGCCCGAGCTTATTCATCAACATCAGCAGATACTCTTGGGAAAGACTGGGGAACGCCTGGCCATAATCAAACGAGATCAGGAGGGGGTCGCACAGGTCGGAGCGAGGGTGAGCAGCGGCAAGCCTTCCTATGCCGTCGAGTTCGATCACATTATATCCGAAATTACGGCCGACCACAAACCCCCTTTGCGAGTAGGGAACCACCTCCTCCACCACTTTACGGAGCGAGCGGTTGACAACAGGAGTCATGATTTTCAGGTCGGTATTTCGCAGCCCGAGCACTCGAATTTTGTCGGCAGATCGCGCGCAGCCTCCAGAGGCCTCGTCCTCCTCCTCAGAACCCTTGGGCAAGAAGGCCTGCAACGTGACACTCGCGGCATCGAAGAGGGCCCCCCCGCCGAGCACCCAGTCGAGGGTGTTGCACAAGACGTCGACGCAGCAATCAGAAGCATTCCAAGCGGCATAGGGGATGCCGTCCACACCTGGGGCAGAGTGCCGTGCACCTCGCACAGCTCGACGGACAGCAGCTTTAGTGGGAGGTGGGACTTCGCATTGGATGGGGGCTTTCAGGTGATCCTGGAGGTAGGCCTCTATGCGGGGGCCTGGGACAGAGCCTCGGGAGAATGCAGGGCGCCAGTAGGTACTCAAAGCTTGAAACCGATCTTCAGGCGAGTGGGACAGGACGGGCCCGGACCGTCTGCAAGATGAGTCGGCGAGAGAAAGGGGCCCAGATGGCCGCCTTCCGTTCCAATAGCTGCTGACGACGGCAGGCGGAGGGGGGACGGTGAGAGGCAGAGAGACCAGCGGCATGATCAGCATTGGCTTGCAATTCTTTTTCCAGAAGCCGCATGTGGACTCCATCCGACAAAGAATGAAATGATTCAGCATGCCGAAGACGAACTTGTGAGCCTTCAATTTGCAGTGAGTCTGATGCCCACTGCGATGTCGACATGAGTCGCCGAGCCAGTGGGACGTCCTGACGCCAGACGGCTCGGGCGCAGCTGCGGGCAACGATGATCGCCGTCTCATCACTCTCCGCCTTCAGCGTGAAGAGCATGTCGCGCACCTCCCTCGCAGCCTCCTTGAGCATCTCTTTGAAATGCTCCTGATAAATAGAGCCAGCATGTGCAGTAATAGCGTTCTGGCCATCAGCAACCATCCCCTCGATACGCTTCTTGAAGAGCGGGTCATGGAAGATGTGCCGCGGAATAGCTTGTTCTCCCCGAGGCTTGTGATGTCGCTGGCGCAACGTTGTCGCCAGCGCGGCATGATCTGATATTTGAGCACGGGACAACGCCTCTGGCTCACCGACCGTGGTGGATTCAGCATGTACCTGGCATAGCATCCATCCTGGTAGGGAACAAAAGAACCTGTCGATGCAACTGACAGAGTTGGTATGCTTAGTGTAGTGAGTAGCCGCCGACGATGAGACTTCAAGGAGCGCCCCAAGAGAGCGCAGCCAACGAGCAGCTTGGGCACGATGATTCCTAGGATCAGAAGCACGCGCAGGCAGCGGGCGATGGAGCACGAGAGCTTCGTCGGGGCCAAAATTGAGGTCGCCTTGCACAATGACCAGGTGGTGGGTAGGGTCAGACGCCGCCGCGACCCGATACCTATCGATCTGCTCACAGACCATGTCCACCTGGGTGCTTGTGAGGCCGTGGTTGTGTATATTGAAGTGCGTCAACTGAAAGCCACGTCTATGCACATCAACTTGCAGGACCCGTCCTGGGATGAGCGGCGTGGCACAGCTAGACGATGCTCCGTCAAGAGCGAGTCGAGGAATAATGGTAGCGACACCTCCCGCACCCGATCCCCCTTGATCGACTGCACAAAATGAGGCGTGGACTACTGCATGGGCATGGGCTTGGAGCACAAACTGCTCCAGCTGGACACGATCGGCATGAACTTCCTGCATCGCCAGCAACGTGGACTGCAGGTGGATCTGCTGTAGATATCGTAACTTGGGGATAGCCTTCGCTCCTTTGTACTGCAGGAGCGCCCTCGCGTTCCAGGTAGCGCATCTCAGAGCGGAGCCTCCACCTCTGGATTGAGGAAGGGTGAACATCTGCATCATCTCGTTAAAGGCACCACTGCGGCGGCGGTGGTGGTGCAATGGTGGACTGAACCAGCTCGCGTACCTCGTGCTTGGCGATGCCGACTTCACTGAGGCCCTCGTCGTTGTAGAAGATGTCGAAGGGCTGGTCATCAGGCTTGGCGGAGAGCGTGAGGATGTGCGCCCACCCGCAGCGGAGGACCCCACGCTCCCTGTCCACAGCCCAGCGTCCGTCGTACTTGCCAGCCATGGCCGCGCGAAGCTTCCTGAGCGCCATTTCCGTTTTAATTTGCTTTGGATTTTTATCTGGTCCGAGATGGAGACGAGCGGGGGTAGAGCCTGACACGTCGGCCTCGAATATACGCCAGTCACCGTTCTGCCTGAGATTGGATAAGACCTGGTTGACATACTTGGGCGCGAGCCCGACACTGCCGTTGAATGAGACGAGGTACCTTCTGCTTGGCATCGGACCAGTGGGCTTGATAGTGTATGACGATGCGTCCAAGCCCAACTCAGCCAGGAATGGGGAAAGTGAGGCACGCACGGACTCGATCCCAACCATTTTTGTGGCCATGGCGACGACAACAGAGGGGTCTTCCACGCGATCGAAGGAGGGCGGTGCCGTCGGAGCCTTCTCCGTGCGTTTGGCGACCATGAGTTCGCCGCGGAGCTCTTCCATCTGCTTTCGTAAGTTGGCAATGTCTGCGGTGTGCTTCTCAACATCAATCGAGAGCGTGTTGACATGGGACCCAAGGGAGTCAATCTTGGACTGCAGGCCGCGGTGAATGGAGTCGATGTGGGGGCGAACAGTGGCCATAATCTGCTGGTCGACCTCTTTCGGCTGAGCCGTGATCTGGACGCGCAGGGACTCCAGTGTGTCAAGAATAGATTTGTTGGATGATTGCACAGTCGCGCCGACGGTAGATCCAACCAGAGACTCCAATTCGGACCGTAGCTCTCCGAATTGTTCAGCAACTGCGTTGGCTGCGACGTGCCTGATATAGTCATCATCATATTGAGGCTGCTGATGTGGAGGCTGGGAAGGGTCACGAGGGACACCAGCAGGAGAAGAACCAGGAGTACACTGTGAATCGCCACGACCGCCGAAGAGAGCCGAGCCGACCGCACCAGCTGCGCGGGCAGCCATGCCAGCGACCCCTTTGCCACTGGAGTTGCCGCCCTTGCCGTCCTCGGTGCGCGGGTACTTGGGCTCAGGCGAGCCACGAGCACGGTGGCCATCAGCATGATCATCATCTGGGAAGGTGGGCATGTCGTCGAGCTCCTGGGCAACCTGGGCGAGCGCAGCAGCGTCGGGAAGCCCCATTGCGACTGAGACGCTCGTACGCACAGGAACGGGAAACACCTCCGTTTACCCGTGGGGGCAAGCGTCAGTTCGAGGAGCAATCTCTGCCAGACCGCCAAGGGTCTTGCCAGCCGCGGACTAGCGGTATCCACTTGTTCCCCTGTGGAACTATGCATCTTGAGCCAAAATGGCTACGGAGGAGGAGGAGGAGGAGGAGGAGGAGGAGGAGGAGGAGGCGGAGGAGGAGGAGGAGGAGGAGGAGGAGGAGGAGGAGGAGGAGGGAGGAGGAGGGAGGAGGAGGGAGGGAGGAGGAGGAGGAGAGGAGGAGGAGGAGGAATGGGGAATGGGAATGGTCAAATCGCGAAGCGAAAAGGAGGAGGAGGAGGAGGAGGAGGAGGAGGAGCAGGGAGGAGAAGGCGGAGGAGGAGGATTCCCAGCGCCGGCGCCGGCACCCGCCCCATTGCCGGGCCCCGGCCTCGGCCATCGGCCCTGGCGCCAGCCGGGGCCCTGGCTCCGGCGATCGATCCCCGGCCCCAGCCCCGGCCCGCCCCCGAGGAGACAGACGGCTCCCCTCCTCCTCCTGCTCCTCCTCCTCCTCCTCCTCCTCCTCGTTCTTCTCCTCGTCCTCTTGCTCCTCCTCCTCTCCTCCTCCTCCTCCTCCACCTCCTCTTCATCCGCCTCCACCTCCTCGTCCTCCTCCTCCTCCTCCTCCTCCTCCTCCTCCCCCTCCTCCTGGCTCTCCTCCTCCTCCTCCCTGAAGCGCCCGCCCCATGGTCTGAGCCTGTGGCAGGGTCATCAGTTCGTAGTTTTCGTTGTCGTCGTGGTCGTCATGGTGGTCGTCGTTGTCGTGGTCCTTTTGGGTCGGCGGCACCAGCCGTAACACAATAAAGAAAAAATATAAACAGAGAGAGAGGGAGGACACACACACACGCACACACACAAACACACACACACACCTATGAGGAGAAGCAGCATGCGTGGGGCGGAGGAAACAAATACAGAGGAGGAGATTGGAGGAGCAGGGATGAGGGAGGAGGAACAAGGAACATATTCAAAGCCCCCAGCCCTCTGGAGCATCCTCACCTCGCCCCCCCCCACACCCCCCCAAGTGCTCCTTCCTCTCCTTCTAGTAGCTACCCACCTTCCCATGCTCCCCCTCACATCTCGCTCGCGGTCTCCGTGGTGGTCAGGGAAGAGAGGATCATGCTCTACCGCATCGGTTGTATAGCCTGATCATGTGGGTTTTCCTGTTCCTCCTGTTCCCCCTTCCACTCAAGCCTCTCTCTCCACCTGCAGCTCCACCCCCAATTTTCCTCCCCATCCTCCTCCCAGGGAAGCAGCCTGTGAGGTCACTGACCATCTCTTGGGCATTTGCGAGCCACTACTGCTCCTCCTCATGCTCCTCGTCCTCTCCACCTCCTAGTACTTCCTCCTCGCCTCCGAAGTGCAGGAGCAGCAGGGGGAGGGTGGTTGGAAGGCGACGCCTTGGTCGCAGCCAAGGCGTTTGGCCCACCTCGCACGAGCTTCCCGGCGATGTCGGCCACCTCTCTCGGGTGATCTCGTCCGTATTTCGCTCCCCCCTCCCCTACCCCCCTCCTGCCCCAGGACAGGGAGCAGGAGCAGGAAGGCAGGATGGCTTAAGCGATGTCTAACACAAAGCTCTACGTAAATAGGGGGTCGATAAGCTATTCCCCCTGCCAGTCCTCCTCAGTCTCCTCTTCGTCGTCGTCCTCCTAATTGCCAAGGTCACTTCCTACTCCTCCCCATCCGCAGTGTCGACCACGTCCTTCTTCTCAACCTTCTCATCGCCCTCGTAATCACCGTCCACCGCAACCTTGTACTCGTCCACATGCTGCTGTTTCCGCCGCTGCTGCTGCCCCACCGCCTCCTCCTCATCATCTATCTCCCCCCCCTCTCCACAAGAACACAACAACGGGCCCTCCTCCCCTTCCGCAGTCATGCAAAGCTTGCCGTTACTCACTCGACGTCTGAGCCCCACTGGTGATTGAACTAACGAGAGCCTTTCTGAGGTCGTTGCCCACCTCACTTCGCCCACCCTGCTTGCCGCGCCTTTGCGCTCAGCTGGCCCGGGTGCACCGAGTAGTTCAGCAGCCCGACCTCCGCCGCGCGGTCCGCGGGGACCTTCTGCCCGGAGAGCATCAGCTCCGCCGCGTCGGCCCGTCGCATCTTCGGGAGGCACACCACGGAGATCATGGCCGGAGAAACCCCTGCTGGGCGGGCTGTCCCAGCACACGCTGCAGGGAGTTTCAACGCAACTGCGGCTTCCAGCTGGGGACTGTGCGAGGAGCCGACCGAGAGCGGCCAGAACAAAGCCATGGCCCATGCAATGTGCAATGCGTGTCCGCAGCAAGTTCCACGAGTCTGAAGGGCTGACGTGGGCCATTCTCATGAGCCCCGGGCGGGAGCATGACGACTAGGAGGGGCAGGAGACGACGTAGCCGAGAAGGAGCAGGAGGCTGATGCGGACGACGAGGAAGACGAAGAGTATCATTATGAGGAGCAGCAGGATTAGCAGGAGCAGGGAGATGGCCCTGAGCAAGAGCAACATCAGCGAGAAGGCAAGATCACGAGCGGGAGCGGAAGAAGGAGCGAGAGAGCAAGCAGCGGGGTTGCAGGAGCACGACAAGAGAAATAAGAAGGACGGGGGAGAATCAGCAGCAGGAAGACGCAGCAACAGAAGGAGCAGCCTCGCATACAGATATGGTGGAGAACGGGAGGAGGAGGACGACGAGGAACAAACAGCGAAGCATGGGGACCAGCAGCACGAGAAGGGAGTAGAGAGCATGATAGAAGAAAGGGACGGGGGGGGAAGAAGATGCACTAGCGAAAAGAAGCGAAGGAGGAGGCAGGGGAGGAAGGGAAGGGACGAGGAACCATGATGGGAGGGCCCCTCTCAGGCGGCGGCGGAGCTCGTGGGGGCCTCGGGGCAGCAGCACCTGCACGGCGAATCCTGCAAAACCTGGACCCCTGAAACCATCAGGCCTGGAGGGCCTTCTGCTCCAGACCACTTCTGCCGGCGGACTCGCCACAACTCTTGGGGCGCTTGCCGGCCTCCGCCGAGCAAGAGACGGCGCCCGCCCGATCCCGGAGAGGCCGGGGCCAGTGTGCAACACTCCCTCGGCGGCAGGCCCCCGCCCGACGCGTGCTAGGCATGACGCTCCTCCGCAGCAGGGGCGAGGAGGAGCCGCCGTAAGGGCTCCTATCGACTTCGGCCTGGAACGGCCACGATCTGCACAAGATTCCCCCAGGGGATCTCTGGATTTGCCTCGTTTTGCATGGATTCCCTGCGTTACCTGGACTTCCCCGTGGGTGTGCCACGATGTGCCTGGATGCGCCTCGACTTCTCTGCCTTGACTCACCAGGCTCGGTCCCCACTTAGTCGGTGGGCGAAGAGTAGGCAAACCCTTCGGGAACGAATAGAAGGAGGAGGAGGAGGAGGAGGAGGAGGAGGAGGTGCCGCCGACCCAAAAGGACGACGACGACGACCACGATGACGACCACGACGACAACGAAAACGACGAGCTAATGACCCTGCCACAGGCTCAGGACATGGGACGGGCGGTTGAGGGAGGAGGAGGAAGAGGAGGCGGAGGAAGAGGAGGAGGGAAAGGAGGAGGAGGAGGAGCGGCCGCCTTCCTCTGTCCCCTGGCCCCTGGCTCCGTCCGGAAGATGGCTGGCTCTTATTATTCGGCTGTTTACGGTAGTCCACAACGGTGTTTCTGCTGCAGCGCGGGTTTCATGATCGGATCGGCGCTTTGCTCCGTCGTTTTAGTACGACGCTCTCGCCCCAGCTTTTCTGGATCCGAGTCCTTTTTGTTTTCGTCCCCCTCATTTCCCCTCTTTGGCATTCCCCTTGTCCTCCTCCTCCTCCTCCCGCCCCTTTCACTCCAGTGTCTTCTGCTGCTGTTGCTCGTCCTCGTCCTCAACTCTGCATCCGCTTTCCCCATCCTCCTCCAAATTCTCATCTTGTTCCTCGTGCTCACCAGCCACCTCCTCCTCCTCCTTCTCCTCCTCCTCCTCCTCCTCCTCTTTTGCATGCAACTTCCCATATCCGCTTGCGCATAAGACAATTTGGGTTTCATGTGAAGTTTCAGGTCGGCTATGACGCGCGTGGGAAGAAAGTACACAATAAGAGCGCAATGGGAAATGATTGGGAGGGGAAAAGGCTATGATGCCAGATGTGGCGCGAACGCACCTAGCTTTATCGCCACCCCTCGCCTATGCGCACCTCCGTGAAGCCCACCTCGGAGGTGCTGCTGATCACGGAGATGTCGCAGGCTGCCGCCAGCCCCACCCCTCCGCCGGTGCAGTGACCGTTGATCTTGCCAAGAACCACCTTCGACCACACCCTCCTCCTTCTCCGCGTCATCATGCTTCTCTTCAGCCTCCTCCTCCTCCTCCTCCTCCTCCTGGACCACTGAACCTCCTCCCCCCTCTTCGTCGTCCGTGTCCTCCTCCTCCTCCTCCTTCTCCTCCTCCTCCTCCGTTCCCTCCTCATCCACCTCCTCCTCCTCCTCCTCCTCCTCCTCCTCCTCCTCCTCGTCTTCCTCCTCCCCCTCCTCCTCCTCCTCCTCCTCCTCCTCCTCCTCCTCCTCTTCCTCTTTATCCTCCTCCTCCTCCTCCGCCTCCACCTTCTCCTCCAACTCCTCCTCCTCCTCCTCCTCAGTTCCCTCCTGCTCCTCCTCCTCCCCCTCAATTCCCTCCTCCTCCGCCTTCTCCTCTGTCCGCAGGGAGGGCCCGAGACCCCCCGGAGCCGGACGGACAGGGCTCCATCCCCGCCCGCTCGCGCGCCCGGAGAGGCCCGCCTCGTGCCCGGGGAACCAGCCGTAAGGCTCGGCTCGCCCAAGAAAATCTAATCCAAAAGCCCTAATCACGAGATCGAGAGATCGTTTGAAAACAATCCCCCGGGACTGTTTTAAAGAACGGCAGCGTTCTTTAAAACAGTCGCCGGGCACTGCTTTGAAGATCGCTACTATTGATATATTCTGTCGGTGATGGTGATTTGTCTCTGCGATGCCACAACTGAGGCGTGCTGGAAGCGACCCTGGAGGCACCCAATAGCTCCAGACCGAGCCCAACGGCAGTTGGCGTTTGCAGCTCGGCGTCCTGGAAATCGTGTTGTTTAGCGGTTTCGGGTCTCAACAAAACTAAACGAAGCTCGGCTCGCCCAAGAAAATCTATGCCCAGGGCGCTGTTGTTGGCGTTTGCAGCTCGGCGTCCTGGAAACCATGCTGTTTGGCGCTGTCGGGTCTCAACAACAAACAACTAAACACGCTAACGCAGTGTTCAGCGTGTTCAGCGTGTTCGGACATTGTTTCAGACATGGTTCAGCGTGTTCAGCGTGTTCACGCTGCGTTTGTTTGGCGTGCTCAGATATTGCATTCGCGTTTTCAGTCTGAAGACGCACAAAAACTTGTATAAAAGGAACACAAAACCAACTGCCCTAAAAACGGTGCAACAAAAAAGCATTGCGATTTGTTGTTCGCGTTTTCAGCCTGCCCAAAAAAAAGAAAACGCAACAAAAACGCCCAGGGCGATTTTGAGGCGAATCAGGGTCATAAGGACGAGCGGAAAGGGAAGGACACGCCGGTCCCCGCGGAAGGCTCGGGAGCTGTGGCGGGCCTCCGTCAGCTGAAAAAACAAAAGTCCGAGGCGCCGGAGGAGGAGGCACGGGAGACACCTGCTGGGAGGGCCTCGTGAGCAAGAATAGGGGCCAGTACACCAGATTCGAGGGCCACTGATCCGGATTCGGCCCGATTAAGCACAGGAGTAAGCCCGACTAGACAGGATTCGAGAGAGGTTCAACGGAATTGAGCGGCACGAAGCGGGGCTCGGCCGAATTGCGCTGGTTGTCGGCTAGCGGATTACACCGAAACCGATGCTGAATCTAACACCCCAGGAGTTGCACCCCATGGAGGGGGAAGACGGAGACAGGGAGGAGTGCCTCACTCGGCCCTCGAGTGTTCCCAGCCCGAGATCTGGGGCAGGAGCGTCGCCCGTGCCCTGGCAAGGCCGGGCTCCCCGGCGGGGCGCAGGTGCGTAGCCGTGGGGAAGTGCGACCGCTCGGCTGTGGGCCCTGAGCTTCTGCGCGCTCGCTGGCGTTCGACCGTGGGCTTGATCGCAGCGCCGGGTACAGTCAAAAACCCTAATAAGGACGCGCGGTAAGGACGCAAGACCCTTGGAAGCCGAAGTTGGGATTTTTGGGGCGGCGGACGACGAAAACCCCAAGGACGCAAGAGCAAGGAAGAGCAAGGACGCAAGGGTACCCGGAGCAAAGTCGCGCGTCCTTATTAGGGTTTTAGACTGTAACTTAAGACAACCATTCGGCACGCCAGTGCGAGTCCCAGGTCGAGGAGTGCGGCTCAGAGGGAGGCCACGTGGAGGGGGGCGGGGGACCAGCAGGTCGTCCAGACCCGCGCACCCGAGGCAGCAGGCATAGGAAAAAGGTGCCCCCCCGCCCCTAAGCCCTCTCAGACCACTCTGGGGGAGACTCAGAAGTTTCCGACTCCCTCTCCCCCTCCTTCTCTTTCAAAAACCTGCTGCTAGGCGCTTGCACCTGTACCGTCACTCCTCTGCCCGCCTCTACCCCAGGGGATCCACCAGTCTCAACTCCTCCACCCTCTCTCCTCCCTCTTCCCTCCCTCACCTCGCCTTTCTATACCCTCCCTCCTCCCCTCCTCCAATCCCTCCTCTATTACCGCCTTCGGCCCTTCCTGCATAATCTTCAGGATGTCTGGGAGGGTGTAGCGCGGGGCCTCGCTCGCGGCACCCTTCAGATTTGCGCCCGCACAGAACGTGCCGCCGCTATTCGTTAAGACAATCCGCGGGCCCCTTGTGATGGGCTTGTTTGCAACCACCACCACCATAAGTTGGAGGGGGAGGTGGTCCTCCTCCTCCTTCTTGACCTCCTCCTCCTCCTCTTCTTCCTCCTCGTCCTCCTCCTCCTCCTCCTCCTCTTCGTCCTCATCCTCCTCCTCTTCCTCCCCCTTCCCCCCTCCAACTTATGGTAGTGGTGGTGGTGGAAAACAGGCCCATCACCTTGAGGACATGCCGCCTAAATCATATCCGAAGTCTGCGCTTAGCGCCGAAAGGGCCGCGAGGCGCGGACATCTTCGCTCCCTCGTGCCGTCCCCCCCCCCCAACCCGGGAGAAGGACCACTATCCAGCCCGGGCCGCGAAGCGCGGCGATCTTCGCGCACCCTCGTGAGACCTAAGAGCCGGGAACTGTTCCACAGCGTGTCGCGGCGGTGCCCCCAAGCGACAGGCTGTGCCCTGCGAGAGGACAGCGCGTCGCTCCGTTCCGCGGGACGGGAGTCCCGGAACAGCTCGGAACGTTGACGCTCGGGGACCGGGACGTGGACAGCGCGTCGCGCCGGAGCGCGGCGGGCAAGAAGAAGTGGCGGAGCGAGCCGCGATGTCAAAGTTCCCGGCCGTAGGCAAAAGTGGCCTCACTTTCCTGCACGGGAGACCAGACGTGCTTGATGGCTATACTGGAGATTCGTGGCGTGGGACGCCAAGATGCCTGTTCCCACGACTGCCGGCAGCTACAGAGCGACGCAGGCCTTTCAACAGCGGCACTCATAATATCAGTCTTCTTGGGGAGGGGGCGGAGATGGGGCTCCATTGGCTCAATTGGCGCCCCAGGGGAGGAACGTCCCTCAAGGGAGGGCGGATGCAGCACAATCCGTCGGCCCACAGGGAGAGGCGGATGCGGCGCAAGCCTGAAAACTCACCCGAGCCTCCTCGTTTGCCATGCAGGCCTTCAGGCTGTCCCCCAGAGAATTCACCAGCTCTGGACTCAGCGAGTTCTTCTCCTTCGGCCGGTTCAGCGTGATAGTGGCGACGCCATGTTCAATTGTCAAGTGGGTGGCTGGGGCTTCATCTCCCATCCGTGGCAACTTCCCACAGATGTCCAAGCGCTTGAGCAAAATGCTGGAGTCGGATGTGTTTGCGTGTGTTTGGTGCGTGCGTGACTGCGTACGCGTGTGTGTGTGTGCGAGAGAGAGAGAGAGAGAGAGAGTGCGGCTTCTGAATGAGCCAGCCGCGCGCGTTTCCCGATTCCCGCCGTTCGACATTCTACGCCTCGACGCTGCGCGCGACGCCGCGACGCCACAAAGTGTGCGCGTGTGTATATACATGCGTGCGCCTGCGGGTGTGTGAGTGTGTGCGCGTGCGCGTGTGAACGTGTGTGCCGGGGGGGATCGCTCGTGCCCGCGCGCGCCCGCGCCTGTGAATCCGTCACCGGTTTCAAGATCGTCTGCCGTCTGCCAGATCACCTTATCAGGAAGAATGGGGTGTGCCTCCAAGGGCGCAGAGCTAGTAGCATATGCATGGTACGGCGATGCTCCCCTCTGGAGGCAGGCTAGCCCGCCCTTGTGCCTCCCCTGCTCTCTCGCGCGCTCGCAGGTCGACGGTGGGCGACGTGGCGCGTCCCGTGGTGCATGCCCGCGCCTCACCGCCCAATACTCCCCGCCCTACGCCCTCCGCCACGTTCTTCTCCTCCTCCTCCTCCTCCTCCTCCTCCTCCTCCTCCTCCTCCTCCTCCTCCTCCTCCTCCTCCCCCACTTCCTGCTCCTCCTCCTCCTCCACTTCCTCCTCCTCCTCCTCCTCATCCTCCTCCTCCACTTCCTGCTCCTCCTCCTCCTCCTTCTCCTCCTCCTCCTCCTGCTCCTCCTCCTCCTCCTCCTCCACTTCCTGCTCCTCCTCCTCCACTTCCTGCTCCTCCTCCTCCTCCTGCTCCCGCGATCCCACCTACCACCCAGACCACGCTGCGTGCGCACGGTGCCGCAGGCTCGCGCCGAGGGAGGGGCGATGGCACCAGTCTCATCGAAAGGGCACAAGGACACACAAATCAATACACACACAAATCCCAAGATTCCCCATATTCTTCATTTTTCCGTGGCTTTCGTCTTCCCCAAGACTTCCCGTATTTTCCCATATTTCCCTAGGGATCGGCGATTCATTGTGTCTGTGTGTGTTTTCCCCTCCTGACTCACGACTCTCACCCGAACCCTCGCTCTCGCTCTCGCCATCTCTCTCTTTCTCTCGACCTAACCGCCGACTCGACCGCTCCAGATCTGCTCGGGTCGCCGTCCCTCGGAGCGGCTCCCTCGGGATCCCGGGGGCTGGTGCTCCTCCCGAGCAGGTCTCTGACGGGCCCTGGGCCTGGAGACCATCCCCCTCCCCCCCCCCGTGAACTCCAAACAGATACAGCTGCCATCACTCGCACGTGCAGACAGCCATACTCAAGGAATGCTCCTCCTGCTTACTTTGCATCTGCGTGTCGGAGTAGTGAGAAATAGGATGCGGCAGCGATTCCCCGTACATGTCTTGGCTTCGTGCTTTGATTCGTTCGCAAGCTGGGGAAACATGCTCCTCGGTGCGCCTCGCCGAGCGCACGTGCGCACGGCCGAGCGATGCCGAGAGGCGCGTCCAGCGCGACGCGCTCGAGCCGCACGGCCGCGAGAAGCCCCCCCCCAGCCGAGAAGCTCCGTGGAGGCTCCCGGACGCCCCGAGTGCGCGGCACGCGTCGCCGGAGACTGCGGGCAGCCTCGAGCCCCCCCCCCCCCCCCCCCCCCCAGGCCTCGCTCCGTGGAGCCTCAGCTGACGGGCGTGTGTTCCTTTTTTTTTCACGACCACCACCACAAGTGGGTGGGGGGGGTCCTCCTCCTCCTCCTCTTCTTTCTCCTCCCGTTCTTCGTCCTCCTACTCCTCGCCCTCCTCCTCCCTCCCCCCTTCAACTTATGGTGGTGGTGGTGGTGGAAAACAAGCTCATCATCAGCAGCCTGCGAGGCCTCACCCCCATCGGCGAGGTGCCCGCGTTACAGTCAACCGGCATCGCAAGGATGCGCGATGAGCCTTGGACGCCCATTTGGAGCCATGGTGCCCGGGGAGCGACCAACGAAAGTGGCACAGGATGGACCGAGGAGGCAAGGATGCCAGGGTACCCTCGGGAAGCTTGCCCATTCTTGCTCTGCGGGATGATCCGTATGGCCCGGAGTGGTGGTGCAAAAGAAGGGAGTGGCGCGAGAGGGCGGTGGTCTTACTGCGGGTAATGTCTGGGCGATTCCAGAAGCCCAGAACCCAAAATGTTGTCACCCCTTGGGGGCGCAGATTTTACGTCCACCACCTTCCGCCGAATTTCCGCCCGCTTCCGCTGGCGGAGGCGGCGAGGCGGCCTCGTTTTACCTCCAACGACCTTGCGCCGCCCTTCTGACGCCATCCGCCGATGAAGAGATGACAACGCCTTCGATCCTCGACAGCAAGGCCCTGTTTGGAGCGCCTCATTTCTATATCCATGTCCGATGCGTTTTGGACTTTCTTGGCAAAGGACGCTGCAGAGCCGAGGCGCGCTGCATCGAAGGACCGCTGCTCTTGATCCGTGATGTCCTCACCCGCCCAATCCTCACTGCCCACTCTTGTACCCCCCCGACGATTGGGGAGACGCAGAGGCGGGGTAGGGGCAGAGGTGGAGTTGGTGGAACATCGCTCCAAACGGCCCCTGGAGGAAAGGGATGTGAGCATCTAGCTGGGTCTGTTCCCTGAGCCCACCTGGAGTAACCCCCCCCGAATGTGAGTCCGAGATGTTGTCCACAAGCGCTAACCTTTGGAGTCAAAAATTACCAAAAACAATTCGAGCGGCCCACGAGCGCCGCTGGAAACGCGTCTCTCGACCCTACGCGGACCACTTTGAAGCGCCGCCCGGGGGTCACAACACCGAGGGGGGGAGGAATGATACGATCTTCCGCCGCAGGGAGCGCTGACCCCCCCCTCCGAGAGACGGGGGGGGTCCCCCCCTTCCTGCTCGGCTGCCCGTCGGTCGGGAGAAGGAGGTAGAAACATGAAGTAGGAAGGCGTTGGCAGTAGGTTGGAGCTCCGCCCGCCCCCTGAAGCGCAGAGAAGAAGGGAAGCGTTCGGTCCTCGGAGTGGGAAGGCGCCTAAAGCAAATTGGCGACTGGGAATCCAAACCAGCGCCCCTCTAGACGGGACTCCACTAACGGGCACTTTGGCCAGTAACCCAGCGAACCCAATCCTCCCCGATGTGGGCAACGCTGCAATGCCAGAGAGAGGCCCTGAAATGGGAACTTTCGGCAATTTTCCAAAACAAAAGCTCCGTTAGTGAGTACCCGTTACGGCGCCGCTGACCCAAACTATCTGCTTTCAGCGACCAGCCGGGAACATTACAGTGGAGGCCAGTCCACAGGAAACCTCCCACAAGAATCCCAAACCCTGAGACCCCAGGACGTCCACACATGTTTGGTGCGGGAGCGCCGCGCCTTCCACGGCAAAACCACCGAAGCCCACGAAACCCTGGGCACCCTGGAGGCAAGCGGCCGCAAGCATTAGGTCAGGCCTGTCCCCCTGCAGGGGGACTACTCCCGAAAGCCAAAAATAGTCAGAACCTCGGCCCCAGACCATTTTTTTGGCTACTGCTGATTACTCCTCCTGTAGAGGGACAGGCCCGACTTCAACGCACCCCCCAGAGATCGGCCAGCACGCAGGCGTGACCCCAGGCAGGCGTGACCTGCGGCGCGCGCGGCTGCCGGGGGGCCGCGGGCAGGCAGCGAGCCCAGGTGTGCAGGCCAGTGCCCGGAAGGGCCCCGGTGAGCACGCACCGGAGGCCACTCCTGCGTGGTGGGTCTGCTCTTTCCTCCGCCACCACCAAGAAGCAGGAGGGGGAGGGGGTCCTCCTCCTCCTCCTCCTCCTCCTCCTTCCTCCTCCTCCTCCTCCTCCTCCTCCTTATCCTCCACCTCCTCCCCCCCTTCCAAATTGCGGTGGCCGTGGAAGACAGGCCCGTCTCACGCGCAAGCGCTGGACCCAGACCCCCGACGTCATGATTTTTTCATGACGCGACCCCCAGAGGTCCAGACCCATTCACCGGGACCGGTTTTTCATCCCGAGTCGTTTTTTGACGCTCCCGAGGCCCGGTGAGGGCCCCCGGAGGCCGAAAATAGCGAAAAACCTCCCGTCGTGATTTTTTCATGACTCGAGGAGGTCTGGGGAAGGAGAGGCCGACCCGTCGACTCACCGGAGGCCGGCCAGGACGGCCACCGGGCGGCCGCGAGGAGGAGGAGGAGGAGGAGGAGGAGGGAGGAGGAGGAGGAGGAGGAGGAGGAGGAGGAGAGGAGGGAGGAGGAGGAGGAGGAGGAGGAGGAGGCGGCCGCGCGCGCAGGAGCGCGCGCGCGGGCGCCTCTCCCCGAGCAGCTCCCGCCGCGCGCCCACGAGCTCGCGGCCTGCCGATCGGCGCGGGCGGAGTGGCAGCAGCGCCACGGCCCCTCGCGGATGTTCGAGTCCCTCGAACTTGTCCACCCCTCCTCCCCTCCTCCTCCTCCTCCTCCTCCTCCTCCTCCTCCTCCTCCTCCTCCTCGACCTCCTCGACCTCCTCCTCCTCCTCCTCCTCCTCCTCCTCCTCCTCCTCCTCCTCCTCCTCCTCCTCCTCCCTCCCCCTCCTCCTCCTCGAACTTGTCCATACCCCTAGACCATCGAGGTCGTCCGTACCCTCTAAGATCGATGAGCCCACAGCGATGGCAGTCTAAAGCATGTGCCTGCGGAAGCTGAAGAGACCTTACGAGCGGCATGTAAGTATATATATAGTCATATATAGTACCCAGATTTGTTGCAAGCTGGTGAGCGTGGAAGACCCACGACGCGGGAGGTCTAGGGAGACTCCCTTCGACGACGACGACGACGACGATGACGACGACGACGAGGACGGGGACGACGACGAGGACGACGACCACGACGACGACGACGAAGATGACGAAGATGACGACGCTGGTTGCCCTTTGCGAGGGCTCGCCTGGGCCTCGGCAGCATGGCGGGCGGCCCTCCCCCGCGAAGGAAGCACAGCGGAGGGGCAGCGGAGGCCGCCGAGAGGGCGGTCAGCACCGCCGCACTCCGTGGGCGTTCGGGACCGGACTCTGGAGGAGGAGGAGGA